TATATATATATATATATGGTACTTTAAATTTCTTGCAGTGAAATCTCACTCTAAGAAAGTAAAAATACAACCACTCGTTACCTTCCGAAAAAGAGTAACAATTTTTATTCTTTTTAGAGTGAATTTTCACTTCAAAAGGAGTTAAATCTCTTCTTCTGGAGTGAGATTTTACTCCTTTTGAAGTGAAAATTCATTCTAAAAAGAGTGAAAATTGCCACTTTTAAGAAATGAAATATTTTCACTTTTTTTACTCAACCAAGGGTGATTTTATTTTTACTCTTAAAGTGAGATTTTTTTCACCGCAAGAAATTTAGAGTGTACCTATATAAATTGAGTACCGCGCATACTCCATTGAGTGCATTCCGGAAAGAAACAGACGTTCGATTAGGAAAGAAAACATATGAAAAGAATAAATAGCAATGAGTGAATCACGAAGCTATGTACGCGGGATAACGAGTTCGGCGAAAATTACCGGCCGGGACGCCGATGTTCGTCACGTAACTCTAAATGGGGCTTGTATATGCACATACATGTATGGCGAGTTGTCCGCGAATGAGTGTGACATAACAGACGCAATAACATAATGATAAATGTCGTTTTATACGAGCGCACGAACGCGAGTCGCGCGAGTCTCGATCGCTTGTGGGATCATCGATAATGACGATCGATGATCTACGGTGATCGATAGCGATGTCAGGAGCACAGGAGGCGCGAGGAGGTCGACACGAATCCGACGGCGAGCCGGCGAAAGGCTCATTCATACGATGGTGGAGGGAGGAGAAGGAAGAGAGAAGGGGAAAGAGGGAAGTGGGGAGGGGTACGCACCACAGCGTGCAGCGTGAAATTCGCTTAATCCATTAATGAGCGAATCGAACCGCACCGAATGGGAATTACCATAAATTTCGCAAAACTACTCCGTTTTTAAAAGAAAAATATTTTCAAAGAAGTCTCTTGTTTTTCCTCTTATTTAAAAAAAAAATGACGCATCGAACGAATGCGAAGACTTTTGATTTTGGAATTGTAAATATAATAATAATAATAATAATGGCTTTATTCAATGCAACGGTTTATAGTTAATTGAAAGCAACACATATAGTGCATGACCAAAAACAGACAAAAAATTATCAAAATCATACAATAAGTTGTAGCTAAGGACTGATTTGATGCCCAATCTTAAGTTTATGTTGATCGAGATTTTCGTCTAAAATCGAAGAAGTCAATTGAGCGAATGACAATAGTACACTTTTCGCGTTACGCAATTCGTGTTGTGCAACATATTGCAAAGTTTAATACGTTAAATGTATAAATAACGCTAACCGTGTGTACGATATCACTGCCAACATACGAGCTTAAGTGGATCCGGGATTGCGACGATCACGCACTTCGTCGCAGGTCGCGAGATTACGAGACTCATACACACCTTACGACTGTTCCAAAATCAATTTCCTCAAAGCAGAGAGAAAACAAAGAATAAATCGCGAATAAAACAATAAATGTTTTTACACGGAAGAAATACGATGCTGTATTCATAGCATCAGCCGTCAGCAGTCTAATTAAAAATAATCTTGTTAATTAAATGATTGTTAATAAAACAAATGCGCCGTGCACTTAAAAATTTACTTGAAAAATTTTAATCAATTTTTTTCCTTAAATAGTATTAACTAAATATTTACTTACGGTAAATAAATATTTACTCAAAAAAATTATATTTAAATCAAATTAATGTTTCTTGTACCAAAAAAATAAATAAATGTTTATATTTGTTAAATATTTGGTTAGTATTACTCAAATAAATGTTCATTAAAATTTCGTAATTTTTTTCAGTGTGCTCTTGTTTTAATTAAATATTATTTGTTTCATTAACGCTATTAATAAAACAAGATTATTTTTAATTAGACTGCTATTGGCTAACATTGTTAATACATCATTCTTTCTTATATAATTACATTTTCGATTTATCATCTTATGAAGAAATATCTTCCTAATCTCTCCCACTCTGCTATACATTTTTCTATCAAATCATCAATAACGAATTATGCTGTATGTAACCCATACAGCACAGAACATTTATGATAAATATTTATTACTATTCATTTTTTGAGATGTTATATAAATATTTTATGCATATTTTATATAAAGCTTTATTTGAAATGATCTGAAATATATATTATATAATTTGAAATATTTATTAAAAGATATAGACTAAATATTTATGATAAATGTAAATAAATATTTCTGGTAATTATTTATTTGAATTATAATATCTTATTAAGTATTTCCATAGCATTTA